GGGGCTGGCTGGCATGTGGTGCTGGAGGATTGAACCGTGGTCCCTGTGCTTTGCTAAGCTTGTTTTAAATAGGTGCTTTAGACCACTGAGCCATCTCACCAGCCCTTAATGAAGTTTAAATGGTGAAGGTATGCTCAGAGTGAGTGTGCTCATGCTGGCAAAAAGGAAAATAGCATTAGCCCAGGATATGCTGGGCTACATGTTGGAAATGTGCTGAGCCTAGCCTGCCTCTCATTGGTTGATACCATGATTGACAGTGCTCTTCACGTCATCTGTATCTACTGTGCATGTGTTTCTGTAATTCACTGTTACAATTGATGCATGAGATGCAGTCCATACATACGAACCTTTAATGAGCTCCAAGTAAAGAAAGGACCTTGTAGGTCATAGGCAATCTAGCACCTTGTGTCCCAGTTTGGAATTTGGGGAATTTGAGTAGTTTTTTCCTCTGCATTCAGGCAGTGGGCCTTAGGAGAAAGGATGTATGTGTGTGGGTGGGGGGCAGGTTCAGAGAGAGAAGGGAAATGTTCCGTAGCCCTTATTGTACAGTCTGTGTTATAAGGAACACAAAGTTGGCTTATCATGTGAAAGTCAGTCAAAGCAATTCACTGTAATAGATAAAGAACTATCCTTTCAGTAGATATTCAGAAGTAATTTTGACAGTATTCAACATCTGTTCCTAATGAAAAAAAATCTGAGAACTAGGAGAAAAAAGGACCTTCTAGCCTGTAAAAAGACTTTATAGTGAAAATTCTTGCCCTATTATTGGGAACAAAACCAAAATAAAATGCACCTGATTGGAAAAGAGTTAAAACTATGTATTTACAGATGACATTATTTTGTATTTAGAAAACTTTGAGGAATGTACCAAAAAACCCAAGCGGGTCAGAAAATATTACCTACTGGCTGATTGCATTTATGTTTAATTCTATATTAAGTAAATTAATCTATGCTAATAGAAATTTAATCAAAGTTTATTCCAAAGGAATGACTAGAATAAGACATGGGAACTTGTTGTGGTGACAAACCTATTTTGTCTTTTGATGAGGGTGCAAGTACTTATGAAAACTGATGAACTGTACTTGCAACATATGTACTTCAGTATAAATTATATCTAAAATTTTTAAGTAAGTCAATATGTCAGGAAATTTTTTTTTTCTTTTTCAAATTTTAGCTAATTGAAATTTGGTAATCATTATCATCTTGGATTATAAGTCCTTTTTCTCTTGTCATACATGAAACATTATGCTTTTTTAAAACTTGACAAAGCACATGCTTAATAAAACTAGCAAACATTACAGTGAACAGAGCATGAATTATTTCAAAATCAGAAATGTCAAAGATATTCACTGTATCCACTGTTCTGTCATAGGAAACAAAAATTCATGTGTTACCACAGGACATATAGGCGAGACAGAAAAAACCCCAAAAGGACTGAAATTAAGGATAAAATATGTGTATGCATGAATGATATCAATGAAAACGCCTCCTCACGTATCACTGCGAAGCAACGACATTATTGACACTACAGATGACCTCACACTTTACAATCATTTTTACATTTTAATTTTTTTTAATGTATTTAGTGCAGGGTCTGCAGTGTCTCACTACACAGATCGGACTTGTAGTGACCCTTCCTGTTTTCCAGCCTCCCAAGTGCTGGGATCACAGCTTTGTGCCACCATGCCCAGACTCAACCTCGATCCAACCCCCAGCCTCTGTGTCTGCCTAAGCAGGTGCTTTAATCCACTGAGCTATGTGGCCGGCCCCTTAGAAATCATTTTTGAATTATTGTACCCTGTATCAACAAATTCTTTAAAAGACTCTATCTCCAAAGAGAAAAATCATACATAGAAATAAACTTAGAGAAGATGATCTGAATGTCAGGAGAATAATATACAGACTCATATTTGATGATGAATTATGCAAGGAAATTTTAAAATTATATACTAAATGCAACTATATGTATAATACCAGTAAAACAACTAAAGTTTACAAACATATTTTAGAATCATTTCTGATATTCAAAGGATAGTATTATATTTATAAATCTTCAATTAAAAATTAAAGGAGAGAAAGATGTGTTTCCCTCTATTTGGAACATGTTATATACAGTTACAGTCATTCAAACCTGAAACTCAGCATCCTGTAGACACATTAAATTTACAAGAAGAATCAAGAAATACATTTGCGGGCTGGAGAGATGGCTCAGTGGTCTAAAGCACCTACTCACAACAAGCT